TTGAGAAGCTGAGACAACATCACTCAATAAATATGAATCTAATGCTTATATGCCAGGCACAGAGCAAAGATGAAAAAAGGTCCCTTGTGCTCTTCTTAAAGGGACGAAGGACAGACAACACAGAGTGCCCAACCCATAATATAGCACCTGCCACAGAAGCCCATGCATATAGTGTCAGGTTCACTAGGAGGAGGCCTCTCGTTCCCCCATTCTTCCAGTGGAAAAGGAACTTAGTAACATTCAAGTATCTCCATGGGAGCAAGTTTTTAGGTGACTGTATAAATCAGCATTAGCAAAAGAGGAATGAAGGATTTATATTTGCACTGCAACACATTCATGTCTTAAATAAGCCAAAATATTGTTGGTACAAATATCCCTGACCACACAATGAAAGTTAACTGAAAGTCCATAAATTAAATTGATAAAGATGAAGCTAACAGTAACTCTAATGAAAAATAAAGAGGAAACACGATGAAAAACCGAGATCAATTTGAGACAATACTGATGATGCATCCCAAATAAGCATCATCCCTTCCTGAATATTGTAGGAATCCCCATTCTGCATATGACATGTAAGAAGCTTTGCATTGGTGCCAAGTTTCCCATGACAGTGCTTCCTGGGAGAAAAAGGTATTAGAGATAACAGTAAACTCTAATGTTGTGCTAGTTTTAGTTTATGAATATTATGTTTTAGTACTCCTTAATAATTTACTTGGCAGGTTATTAATAAGTAGCCTTTAGGCATAGGTAGGTATGAACAACTATGAAGCAATAAGAATTGAAAAAAAGGAGAGGGGCCAGGTAGGAGCCATACTTTGAGAATCATTGCATTAAAGGAGCACAGATGAGGAAACTTAATTCTTCAGGAGGTAGAAGGGGTAAGAAAAAAAAACTAACACTGAAACATTAAGCTGAGGTAATAATAAACCTGCCAAGTAAGGTATTTCAAAACCTTCTACTTGATGTATATATACATACATGAAATTATGCTTGGAAACTATAATTTCAAGCAATAAGAAAGCTACATACAGGGTTCATTCCTTAACAAACTTAAGGAGTGCATCAATCCTTTGCTGTCTCAAATGCATTCTTAGTTTTCAAAAGCTTAGAGAGGGAGAAAGGGGAATATTCTCTAAGAGCTTATCACTATTTATTAGATAACTTTATCTCATTTAGCCTTGTATATATCATAGTTATCTACAGTTAAACATGCTTTTACATACTGAACCAGCAAGCATTCCCTTTTGGAATGGACACTGAGAGCAAAATATAACAAATATGTACTTTTTTTCTAATCATAAAGGTTGGCAAGAAAACTATATCAAAAGCCAACTTATTGAACAGATAAACCAAAGGGCACATATTCACTTTTTTGCATTCCTAAAAGTTGTGAAAGTCTCCTCCTAAACTGGTGGCCCAAGTTATGGCATTTACTACTTCATAACTGTTCTGTTCTTCAATTTTCTAACTTGCATACCAGGAAAAAACTATCCAAATTCAATGGTAAATGCCTTGAAAAATATTTGAAGAGAAGCTAAATAGATACTTTACTACCCACCCTTCCCCGGCCATAACTCTTTTGAAATAGATTACCATTGTTCTACCGCGGTTCCTGTCTGTGATGCCTAATGACTTTTCACTTACTTTTGCAACCCTGTGACGGTCACATCCTACTTTACAAGAATCCCACCACAAAACAGAAAATTTCCAATTTAAAGTAGCATAATAGTGAGACTTCCCTGGTGGTGCAGTGGTTAAGAATCCACCTGCGGATGCAGGGGACACAGGTTCGATCCCTGGTCCGGGAAGATCCCACATGCCGCGGAGCAACTAAGCCTGCGTGCCACAACTACTGAGCCTGTGCTCTAGAGCCCGCGTGCCACAACTACTGAAGCCCGCGTGCCTAGAGCCTGTGCTCCACAGCAAGAGAAGCCACCTCAATGAGAAGCCCACACCCTGCAATGAAGAGTAGCCCCCGCTTGCCACAATTAAGAGAGAAAAGACTGCACGCAGCAACGAAAACCCAACACAGCCAAAAAAAATATTAATTTAAAAAAACAGTAGCGTGATAGCGATTACCATCTCAAGAATTCCTAATACTTTTCAAACTATATGGGTACTAGATTGTCCAAGAGAGTTGTATTTTAAAGAATGCAAAATGACTTCTCATTTCATTATAACAAATTACTTCACTATTAGGAAAAGCATAGGCAATTCCTGATAGACTGAATTAAGCTCATGAGTTGAAACAGACTGTAATAAATTCACTTTAGGAACACACAATGCTTTTTTTTTTTATTATACTCTTGCCAAAACATACTTCAAAGTTGTTGTTTTCCCCTATTCACTACAGAATAGCATACTACTACATAAAATGCTAAGTTTTTATTTTCTCTTGATTCTTGGCCAATTTACTAACTGGAAAGTTATTTTGCTGACAAAGCAGAAAAAGTCCACATAGAGTATGCTGGAACACTTCCTATAGTCAATAACGTAAAAATAGTCATGGAGTACAGAAATAATGAAAACAGCAAAAGCAGGACACAGACCTTAAGCAGTAGGTCTGGACGACATGTACCCTGGGAACCAGAAAGCTCACAAAATCACCACAGTGATTTTTTCAAAAAAGACTCATGGAACATAAGATTAGAAAAACAGGAAGTTCAAGTCGGCTTTTTGTTTTTTAAAAAAAAACTTCAAAAATCACAAATTACTAAATATTTGTTAAACCAGCTCTAACAAATACAACTAAACAAAAATTAGGAAAATGTCAGACATGGGCACAGTACGTATACCCTCACAGAGGGAGCTACAAGGCAAGATGTCACCCCAGGAAATGCAAACTATATATGGTGAAAAGTAGAAAAAACCACTGTGGAAGAGAAATATAAAAGCAATAGCTAATGTGCCTCATAATCTATAGTTTGGGGCTACTACAGGAAGGCATAGTATTCATGGAAAAAAGAGGAGGTCTCATTTATAAAATCACAACTGAGGGAGGAAACATGATATTCACTACCTGTAGACATCCAAAGGCCACAAATACGTATATATGGGAAAATGGGAGGTAGTTTACAATATTGAGATCAAATTACCTACAAGAAAATTTCAGCTGTCAGAAAAAAAAATTCCCGAAGGAAAAGATTATATCATAGGGCTATCTTCTGCCAGTACCATCAGAAGTTCAAAGTAAATTAAAACTCTGGGAGCAAAACTGGAAATCCCTCTACCCCCATCTAAGCAGGGGTTGAAATCATGGGTTTAAAATTATATGACCTACAAAGCTGTAAACCTTGAAGCTTTCGGTACAATATGGCTTCCAGCACTCCATAGGTGATCAACAAGTGTATTAAATGCTAATCCCTTACATCTACATACTGCTTTACAGTTTAGAAAGTGCCTTCACTTTCATTTCTCAACAGCAACCCCTTTGATGGTAGAATCACAGGACTTTACTTCCACACAGCTTGTAGTCTGTAAAGTACTTTCACACACTGTGTTATTTTACAGAAGAGACCCAAGGAGGTTAAGGAGGAGGAGATGGTAGGTAAGGGGCCTGGACAACCAAGGGACTCTATTCAGTCAGTTAAATAGACACTTCTAACCTTTAGAAGTTCAAAGTACAACACTCCAGGGGGAGCAACCTCATTCAGACAGCTATACAGGATAGAACGCCAGAGTCTCAGTGGACCATTTCTGCCTCTACCTCCGCCCCCAAAGACAGGGAAACTGAGGTAGCAGGTAGAACAAAAGCCTGATCTAGAGTCACGCAGGGCGTGTTGGTGGGACGGACTTCCCCCACTCCACCTGCACTATACCCAGAAGCGGCTGAATCCTGTGTTTGAGAGGAAAACGCTTGCCATTCCCGCTTCCCTCTCACTATTCCCCACCCAGGCTTTCCTATGGATGGGGGTCTTTTCTTCCCGGAATCGCGCAGCAAATCCCCTCTCTCCAGGCCCTTACCCATTTGTCACATGGGGCCTCCGAGGTAGAACCCGCTAGCTCTGGCTCCCAACTCCTAGCCTCTCTCTCTGAGGCGTCTCTTGACCCTAAGGCACGTCTAAGCTTCCCCGGCTATGGTCTACCTCCCACTCGTGCCACCTAAACCTCAAAACTCCACAAAAGGAAACCCTCCCCAAACGTCCTCCCACCTACCTCCTCCACCCTGGGCACCCCTGAGGAGCACTGCTAAATATCAGCAGCCTCCCAGGAGCTACCTGCTTCTCACCTGGGCCCCTTTAGCCGCGGCCTCCTCAGAAAGGCGATCCCCAACAACCTCCTCGGTCAAGAACCCCCTAAAGGGGGAACACCCGCTTCCAGAAACCTCTCCGAGCGTCTTCAGCACGGGCCTCGCTGGAGGACCTCCGGGCTGTTTCCTGGGCTCTGCCCAACGCCACCCCCTCCCAGGCCCCTTCTCGGAACCTCCCCCGGCCCCAGTCCGGTCTCTCCGCCGCAGACTCGGGCGGCTGTTCCCCTCCCTCACGGACGTCCCCAGCCCTGGGATTCCCCCCGCTCTGCGTCCCCAGGGGCTTCCCGGAGCAGCGTGACTGGGCTGCGGCACTGACTTTCTCCAGCTCCCGGGCCCACCCGAGGGAGGAGGCGGCGGCGGCGACGGCGCAACTCCTTTGTGACAGGTCCGAGAAAGCGGTAAAGATGGACGCGAGGCCACGGCGCTGCCATTACGTGCTGGGCCCACCCCCGCTTCGTACCGCCCAGGCCCTCCCTCAGTCCCCTAGGGAACGCCCCTTCCTCGGTGGCAATCCCTCTTCCTGAAAGCCAATCAGCTTTCAGATAATACGTCACGTGACACCGTCGCTCGGCCCGCCCCCCTGGAGTGAGCTGGCCAATCCCCTTGCTGAAGTGCGAATGGCCCAATCAAGTCTCTCCCGCTGGCTTTCTAAGGCCCGGATTTCCATCTGTCTCCTGCGGAGGAAGAGAGGTGCGGATTGGGTTACGCTGCCGGAAGGGGGGCGGAGCTCTGTTGTGGCGGTGAGGAAAAGGAAGCTCGGCAGTGTCGAAAGAAATATAAAAGCAAAGGCTATTTTCTTGCTTTCTTTCTGTTTTTACTTTCTTTCTGTTTCTTTTTCCTGAAGAGCGAGCGGCCCTTGCGGTGGCGTTTTGGGGTGGGCGTCGCCGAGGTGAGGGGGTCTCGCCTCCCGCACGCTGGTAGGTGAGTGCGGCCTGGGCCCTGGCCAGGCAGCGAGACCTGGGCTCCGGCTTCCTCGCTCCGGAGGTGAGGGGCTGCGTTTGATGGGAGGTTTAGGGCCAGGTCTGCCCTCAGTCCGCTCTCTCGCCCAGTGTTCTGAGTCACCGGGGACTGGGGCTTGCGGGGCCCAGCCTGAGGGAAGCCGAGGGAGCCCGCGGGAATGCTTTCAGGTCCTGTGGAGGGAGATGCCGACCCTTTCAAGGGGTCCTGGGACTTTGGGCCTCTAGTCGGCTCCCCTCTACCTTTTCTGTCAGGTGGGGCCACCCAGGCTCCAGGTGAGGAGCGGGCTCTATCCCAAAGGTCTTGGAACGGCTCCAGGCTACTCGGGAGATGTGGGGGGGTGCCTGGTTGGAAATGATTGAGTCACAGAATTAGTGCAGGAGGAGAAACATTTATTATGTACCATGTACCAGTAGATGTGCAGTGCATTTTCTTCTAATGGAAAACAAACCGGTGTGCTGGTTTTGCAGAAAACTTAGGAAACTAAGAGCGCGCGGGTTGAAGCGTCTTGTTTGAGAGTTGCTGGCCCAGGTGAATGTCAGTGCGCATGGCGGGAAAGGGGGAGTGCGCGTTCAGAGCACTGGTTCTTAAACTAGTAGAAAACAAGAGCTTCTGCGGCCCTTTTAAAATGCATATTCTCGGACCCCACCCTAGATAGTCGGACTGGGGTGTTGGGTGGGACCCAGGAAGCCAAGTGCGGGTCTGGTGGTGAGAATTCCCAATGACCTATTGTGTACCAGCTGTTGGGTAAGATTTGTTGATAATTCATTCAGCTGTGCGCCTTATTGCTTTGTTAACAAGGACCCCGTTAAATGGTTTGGAAGGCACTGCTTTTGAAACACTTGAGAGGAATTAGTGTGTAGGCCCCTTTTTGATAACAAGCAATTGAGCTGAGGTAAAGGCAGCTTGTACAGTCTTTCAAATAGAGCTCGAGGTTAACAATTTGTAAGGGTCTGAAAGCAGAGGCTACCCAATTATCTTTCTCACCTGAGGTCTTGGTGCCTCCGGTGAGAAATTCTTCGTGGTTGTAAGAAAGGAAGAATTATGTCAATACCATTTACCTGGTTAACAGTGTTTAGCTTCTAAGAATCTTGCTGTTTTGGTTAGAATCAAGCTGCTGCTTCAGAAATTGAAAACCACGTATCTGGTAAATGAAGTAATTTAAGTGCATGGTTTAGCCATAGACTCAGTTGTGTGTAATTATGTCTTCGTGGCAGCTAAATTAAACAATTTCAGTGTGCTCACTGTTGATCACCTTTTGTACATGCTTTGTCTTAATTCTCAAATATGATCTGTGTCACTTTTTACTATAGGATGTGTTTTACAGATTATTTTGTCCTTGTCTTTGGTTTTCTGCATTTTCATTATGATGTATGCAACTATGGATTTGTTTCTGTTCAGTTTGGTGTTTATTACACTTATTAATTTGTGGATTGGTGTCTTTCATTAGTTCTGTAAAATTCTCAGCCATTTTATATTCATGTATTGCTTCTGCCCCGTTGTTTATCTTCCTTCTTTATTGATTTAACATAGACCTTTTCACTCTCTTCTTTATGCCTCTTACTCTTCTTATTTTTCTATACTATATTCTGGATAATTTCTTCTTTATTAATTCTTTCATAGGTTACTTCTAACCTGTTACTAAACTCATCTGTTGCAATCTTAAATTCAGTTATTGCATGTTTTAGTTACTGAAGTTCTATTTTTTTTTTTCTTTTCAAATGTGCCATGCCACTGTCTTACAGTTTCTTATTCTCTGCTATTAATTTTGAGGCTTGGTTTTTATTTCTTTAAACATGGTAAGCATAGTTGTTTTGTAATCTATATGTGTTAATTCCTTTGGGAATGTGAATTTCCTTTGAGTCTGTTTCTGTTACCCATTATTCTTGCTTTTTTTCTTACCAGTTCACCTTTACCTTCATGGTGTAGTTCTTTGGGGTACCAGATTAAGATAGAGAAAGAGGTGGTTGGTTATCAGACTCCGCACACCCTGGGTGGGCTCCCTGCTTTTGAGTTTTGCTTCGCAAGGGCACCAAAACAGTAACTTTCATTCAATTTTCAAGATCAGAGAAATCCTTGGGATGAAAACCAGTTTGAATATTGGACTTAATCTGGTTTTCACCTTGTCTTGGGTTTTTGGCCAAGTTCTTTACCATCTTGTTAGCTTTTCTATTTGTTTAAAAATTATTTAAAAAAATTCTTCCAGTTTTACTAATAGAGGTAGGGGATTGGTCTCAATTACCTAGCCCACTATTTCTGGAAATGAAGGCCCCCTTTGATTTTGATTTTAGAGTGTGAAATATGTCACTTCAGGCAAACTTGAGTTAAAGATTATTTTTCTTAGTATATGTAAAACTTCCACCACTTTTCACTGTGCAGTGTCATAGCTGCAAAATTAAGCTTCCCCTGTGCTTTTTTTCTAGTCTTCCTTATCTAACTTCCATTCTCTGAGAGCATTTAACCTCATTCTATACTTTCTTAAATTGCTCATGTACCAACTTTATCTCTTTTATTGAGTGCAAGTTCCTCACTTGCTAAAAAGTAGTGCCAGTTTACTACCTAGCACTGTGTCTTGCACATAATAGGTTCCCTGTAAAGATTTACTTCAGAAATACAGCTGAATGAGTTAGTGGGCCTTGTATGATTGGTGTAATGTAAAACCTTTTTTTTTCTTTTTTAAATTTGGCCTTAAGAGAGGAGATACATAAAGCCTGGAGGGTGGGGGTGGGAAGGAGCATGATTTAGTGTGGGTTAGGTTCCAGAGTTAGCCCAGATCGTAAAATAGTGTGTAATCAAAGCTATCCTCGAAAAACTTTTAGGGAGGCATCATGTTGGATGTAGGTATACCAGTGCAGCAAAATTCCAGCATGGCCAGATTTTCCTCCGGCTTTGAAACAGATGCTGTTTTTCTTCCTTTGAGTCCCAGATGAAGTAGTTGGTTTGCATTTAGGAATCACAATGTGTAAAAAAATATAACTAATACTAGAATCACACATAGTGAGGGAAGTGTTTACACTCTGAGAGGCACACATGAATTGGGGAGCTGAGAATCAGCTAAGGGAACCAATATTTAAGTTCTCTCTTTTTTTCTTCCAGTGGATATAGATGAATTCAGGGTAAATGCACATATGATGAGATTTTGTTCTTGTGCTGTGGAAAGATAAATGCATATTTAGGTTTTTTTTAAACTTTTAACTTCATGTGTTTTTTAGATGCCTAGACAACCAGAAGTTTACTTCAAATTGCTCTTTATAATAAACATTCTAAATATGAATTACACTGCTTATGGTGTACCCTCATTTTGAGATTCTTTTGTCTCCTTTGCTAGTGGAGTAGGTTAAATAAGCCTCAGTGTTAGAAGAGTGACTAAGGATTACTTTGTCTAATAGTAAGTGCTGACAAAGTGTTCTCTGTTAGTAGTTGTCATTCTCTGAAGTTTTATTTATTTATTTATTTATTTATGGCTGAGTTGGGTCTTCGTTGCTGCCCGTGGGCTTTCTCTAGTTGCCGTGAGTGGGGGCTACTCTTGGTTGCGGTGCGCGGGCTTCTCATTGCTGTGGCTTCTCTGGTTGCAGAGCACAGGCTTTAGGCACGCGGGCTTCAGTAGTTGTGGCACATGGGCTTAGTTGCTCCGTGGCATGTGGGATCTTCCCAGACCAGGGATAGAACCGTGTCCCCTGCCTTGGCAGGCGGATTCTTAACCACTGCGCCACCAGGGAAGTCCCTGAAGTTTTATAATACAGGGAAAGTTGGCTTGATCTAAACTGCTGTAGCTTGGTAGAAGTGTCTCCTGGCCAGAAAGCAGTCTTTATTTGGAATATTTTTGAGTTTGCCAGATGGCAAATTCCTCTTAGTTGCTGTCCTGCATTTTGAAATCCCATGTGACTTGAACATGAGGATAAAAATGTTGGAAGAGCAGTACTTAAGTATATTTACTGACAGAAAGAAAGTGGATTGGCCTATTGTTTTTGCTCCGCAAAGGGAAGCCTTAGAACACTGTAACACAGAGATCTGATCCTCCCTGGTGTATTTTTACACGTACAGTGTATCTAATGTTAGAAATTAGGAGGGTATGGTGGCTAGTGATGTAAACACTTAGGTAGTCTGCCATCACAAAATTCAGTTCCATAGGAAACCAGATCCCATTAATTTGTATCATGGCACGAGCTAAATGGAATAATTTTCAGGTCAGCAATGGCAATTATTTTGGGAGCAGCAATGTAAGTTTTGTTTTTTAAAACTTGTATAGCATGGTATGTATGAGTCCATTCTGTCCCACCAACCTGGAAATTAAATACTACAGTCTCCAGTACAAATACAGTAGTGCAGTGTTTAACATTTACTTCAGCTTGAAATATAAGAACTTTGTTTCTTTGGCTGTCAAGCAAATTTGAAAACTCTTTGCATCAGTTTGAAACTTTTAAGTTGGGACAAAGTGATTTTGGCATGGTTTTGGTTTTCCATGAATTCCCTACTTGAAGAACTTAAATAATCCTTTTAAAAATAATGTAATGTTTAATTTGATAATTAAACTTGAGTCACCATGCAGAAAAGCTATGTGAGTAAAGGAAAGTTGGCAGCATTTATTCTTTCTAAAATTAAACACAGTAAGGACAAAATAAGCATTCTCAATGTAAATCCTCTTCATCCCTAAATGAATTTTTATAATTAGATCCCCGGACCCCTGGGCTTTTGTTTGTTTGTGTTTTGTTTTAAATTATTTTAGCAAACAAAAGAGGAAAATAAGAGACTTGTGAAAATTTAGATAGGCTGTAGGAATTTGAAATAGACACTTTAATTTCTGGTTTCTCTGTCTACTTCCAGAAGAAGGTAAGTTGTGGGTACTCATCACCTTTCTAATGCAGAATAAACAGTTAGTGAATGTTGGACTCTTCAGAGAAAAATGCTTTGTGTGGGAAATATTTATTGCTTAGTGTGAGAGCATTTTTTTAGTCAGTTGAAATTAAAGGAAAGTAGCAAGAGTTTTTTTTTTTTTAATAAATTATTTATTTATTTTTGGCTGCGTTGGGTCGTCATCGCTGCGCACAGGCTTTCTGTAGTTGCAACGAGCAGGGGCTACTCTTCCTTGCGGTGCACGGGCTTCTCATTGTGGTGGCTTCTCTTGTTGAGGAGCACGGGCTCTAGGCACACGGGCTTCAGTAGTTGTGGCACGTGGGCTCAGTAGTTGTGGCTCGTGGGCTCTAGAGTGCAGGCTCAGTAGTTGTGGTGTATGGACTTAGTTGCTCCATGGCATGTGGGATCTTCCCAGATAAGGGCCCGAACCCATGTCCCCTGCATCGGCAGGCAGATTCTTAACCACTGCACCACCAGGGAAGTCCCACAAAAGTTATTCTTGAAGAAGACGTCAGTTATCTAATATAGTAATGTGATGTAATCTTTGGTCTTGTGTTTCCTATTGCACAAGTTGTATAGTGTTTGAATAGAATTCCCTATGGGACAAAGACGCTTTGGTGAATATTTGTTTAATGACTACCATTTTCTATAATTTACATTGGACAGTATCTAAGAATATTCATGTGAGAGCATTCCTCCCTGCTCAAATTCTTCAAATCCTCTCCATGGTTGGTTTATTCAATAAGTATGTCTTTATATTTAATGTATGGCAGACACTGTGCTAATAAGCACTGTGAGTAAAAAGAGCTGTTGGAATAGTCATAAATGGTAAAACACAATGGGTAAGTGCTATAGTAGAGTAATAAATAGCTGGAATAGGGGCCAGAGGAGAAACAGGGAGACTAATGGAATGCTCTTGCAGTAGTTTATGCAAGATGAGGCCCTGAAAAGAAGAGATTAGAAAGGAAAGGACTCTTAAAGGAGAGGATGAATTAGAAAGAGATCATTATGAGGTAGAAATAACAGAACTTAGAGACTGGTGGCATGTAAGGGAAAAAGGAAAAAGGAGTCTAGATATATGCCCAGGTTTTCAGCCTGGGAAACTTGGTTGATCCATATTTGTGCCCTTCATTACTGCCTCCTACCTGTACTGTTCACTTTGGTAATTCATTACGTACACTATTGGTATTAACTAGTGCAAGAGTACTAACTCTTAAAGTTTATTTTCTTTATCACCCCATAGAATTTGGCACAGTGCTGGACACAGTTCAGCATTCAGCACAATGTTGAGTTTATTTAAATTGAATTAATAATAAAACAGTAAAAGAGAGAACCACAGTAAAGGGGAAATATAGAATTACCAAATATGTATACATGTACGTTTTCCCTAATTTCTGTTGTGGTCCCTTTCCCACTTCACATATCATGGTTGTTTATGTCACTGATTTATTTCTTCTGCACTCCTTGAGTGCAGACAGTATTTCTCTCACTCCCATAACCAGAGCTTAGCATAGCACTTTGTAGTAATGGCAAACCTTTCAAAGCATTTTTAAGCAGGTGCCAAACACTGTGCTAAATGCTTTACATGAATTCTCTTGTTATCCTCACAAAAGCTTTATAAGTTGTGCAGTACTATTTTAATCCCCATTGGTGAGTGCAATCTGTGGATTGGGAAACTAAGGCTCAGAGGAGTTAAGTGACTTGTCCAGGATCATACAACTTGTAAGTGGCAGAACCGAGGTCTCTTGATCTCAGAGTCTATAGTCTTCATCATTACCTGTATCATTACCTCTTGTAAGGAGACTGCAACAGAAGGTATTTGTTATATATTGGTTGAATTAGATTAGGTTGTTGTGAAAGGTGTCTTGAAGTTAAGCTGACTTCTTGGCAATATTTATTGACAGTGAAGTTTTGAATTCTGAAAAGACCTGAATATTTCTGGAGAAGAAATATTCTGAATATTATCCAGAATACTCAGGAGTATGACCACTTATTCATGAATATTTTCTGTACTTTAACCTCTCCTAATATAAAAATTAATTAGCCAGAGGGCCACTGGTGGCATTGAAGGCAAGAAGGGAACAACAGTAGTTGAAGTGCCAGGGAATGAGGACCTACAGAAGATGTGCAAATTGAAGAAAGAGATGGATAAAGCAGTCTATGGTTTAGTCTTGGCCCTTTTAAACTCACAGAAATTTATTATAATTAGGTGTGTCCATCTAGTTTTATTTTGGGAATGAGGGAATGTCAGGATTATATTAGCTTTAAAGGATAGAGTTTTGGACTTCCCTGGTGGCGCAGTGGTTAAGAACCCGCCTGCCAATGCATGGGACACCGGTTTGAGCCCTGGTCTGGGAAGATCCCACGTGCCATGGAGCAACTAAGCCTGTGCACCACAACTGTTGAGCCTGTGCTCTGGAGCCCACAAGCTACTAAATAAATAAATAAATTTATTTAAAAAATAAAATAAAGAACAGATTTTTTACAAGTGTTCATTAGTTTTTACTGTGTGAGTGTTTTCTCAGGAAGTCAACCCTTTGAGAGAAGTAGAGTTTCTCTGTCAAATTCTAAATCCATTGTCTTTAAATTTCCTTTTTTTGATGTGTTTCTGCCTTGTTTTCATTTTCATTAGCCAACGGTGATCCTTGATTTTGTCCTTATTTGTGAAAGATGGGGAAATAGCACAGGCTAAACTCTTTGGGTAGAAATTGAATTCTAACACTTTTTTTAAAAATCTCTTTATTTATTTATTTATTGGCTGTGTTGGGTCTTTGTTGCTGTGCGCAGGCTTTCTCTAGTTGCGGTGAGCGGGGGCTACTCTTTGTTGAGGTGCGCGGGCTTCTCATTGCAGTCGCATCTCTTGTTGCAGAGCACGGGCCCTAGGCGTGCAGGCTTCAGTAGTTGTGGCATTTGGGCTCAGTAGTTATGGCACACGGACTTAGTTGCTCCATGGCATGTGGGATCTTCCCGGACCAGGGATCGAACCTGTGTCCCCTGCCTTGGCAGGCGGATTCTTAACCACTGCGCTACCAGGGAAGTCCCAAATTCTAACACTTTTGAGAAAAAGGTTGATGAAAAGGAGAGTAAGAATGTCTTGGAATCCCATAAATTTGTCTTTTCCCAAAAGTAATTGATAAATGTTGGGAAGATTCTTATTTTTCCAGAGTTTCCATTTCAAATTCAAACCCTTGTTTACATGTATCCTAAAGGCTCTGTCCCGTGAGTTTCAGGGATCTTTGTTAAAGTTAAGTGAAGGTAGGTTCTTCTTTTTCCAAAAACTCAACAGGCTATGAAAATTAAATGGTTTTACTTCCTTAATTTTACATTATAAGAATAATCTTAAGAGTCTCTGAATTCTTATTTAGATTGAAGCATGTAAGATTCTAGGTTTTTATTTTGGCCTTTTAGAAGAGTTCTTTCAGTATTAATATTTTCATTTTTTAAGTGTAACGAGAGTGAAGAGATGCATTTAATGGCATACCAGTTGCATTACCATATCCTAAAATTTATTTACCAGGTTTAAATCATATGCAATTCGTTAAGTTCACTGCTTTGAGACACTTTTTTCTCTATTTTATAAGATTAAAGGAACTAGAAATGTTTGACTTAGAAAAGCGACAAATTAGGAGGAAAATGGGAGTTGTCTTCAAACAACTGCAGCATTGTCATGTTGAAAAAGGAATTTGGCTCCTTTTGTGTAGTCCCAGTGGATTGAACCTGTGTGTGGAATTTATAGGGAGACAGATTTCAGTTCAGTTTAAGGAAGAACTATCCTACCAGTCAGAGCTGCTCAGAGTCAGCTGCCTGGAAGGGAGTACAGTTTTAAAGTATGGGTTGGATGAAAATCTCCTGGGTATGGATGGTGGGTTCTTCTGTCAGATGGAGAATTGTTTGAGGTGGGCTATAAGGACCCGTTGCACTCTGAATTATTTACCAGGAAGTAAGGGTAAGAGGACAGCCAATTTAGGGTGAGAAAGGAGAGCTACAGCTAAGAAAGGGGACATTGAGGGCCCAATATGTCTCTCCCATCCATTAGAGTTCTACATAGTTGATGTTTTCTCCGCCAGAGAGATTTAAGAAAATGTTGGCTCTTGTTCCATAAGAGGTCATTATGCAGAACTTGAGGAATTTTTGGCGTGGTCACAGAGACAGAACAATTCTGTCTGTAATGCTAAATCAAATGCTAAGTAATGCTAAATCAAAAGTGTCCAGGTTGTGGGCTTTAGGTGGGAACAACAGCTTCTGTCAATTGATTTGGTTTTCTTTCTAATAAATTTAAAAATTTTCTCATTGTTGTTTCGTTGAACTAAACTTCAACAGTAGGATTTAGGCGGAGACTATTCTTTTGTTCTGCATGTTCAGATTTATTTTCTCAGTTTCCATTTTCGTCTTTAGTAGAGAAAAATGTTTCATGAACATTCTCAGCACTGGAATTTGATGTAGGAAGAAAGCTGAAATTGACATGTCCTTCTTCTCAAGGAGGATCCCTGGTTTCTGGGAAGGGGTATGGTGAAGTGGGTAAGAGTATGAATTTTTGCTCTCAGGCCTGGATTTGATTCTCAGCTCCACCATTCACCATCTTTATCACCTTAGACAAGTGACCTAACTTCTCTGGGCCTGAAGTGCGTAAAATGGTTGAGGTCATTGTGGGAATGAGAAAAAAGAAGGATGGAGGATAGAATCTTAAGTGGGGCAGATCTGGAGTTTACAGGGAGGAAGGTCAGGAAGAGATGAAAGAGGAGTCATTTTAGTAGAGTACAGAGGACATGGAACCTGAAGTGGGGAGATCTGGGTTCTTCTAGTCTTACTTTCTCCACTTGTGGTCTGTGTGCCTCTAGGCATATCACTTTTCTGCTGAACGGACTAGACTCATCTCTAAGGCTCCTTGAATATCCGAGTTTCTCCTTTTGGAATCTACTTGGAAATAAAAACAGGTGAATCAAGGTGGTGTAATATCCCTGAAACAGGAATTTCGAGAAGGAACAATGTCAGGGTGCCCAGGAGGCCAATTTGTCTATGTTAGAGGGACAGAGACAAATCTGGAATGTAAGATTTACTGTGGCATATCATGAGAATTATTCCAGGTCCTCTGCTGAGTTTGTAGATAACATAGATGTTGATAAAACTACTTGATACATTAGGAAAATGTAATCATGTGCTTTCATCAGTGACCTGTAAATTAAACTGCTTGAGGATTTCTCAATTCAAGGTTGAAAGGAGTTTTGCGGTAGTCTATTGCTGGGGGAGACAGAGCTCAATCTTCTTGTTTCTCTTTAGAATTTTAATTGCAGTTCTCACTCGAAATGGTTTTTTGTTTTTTGGTTTTTTTTGTAGACTGATTGTTCCATTATGGATGGAGGGGATGATGGTAACCTTGTTATCAAAAAGAGGTTTGTGTCTGAGGCAGAATTAGATGAACGGCGCAAAAGGAGGCAAGAAGAATGGGAGAAAGTTCGAAAACCTGAAGATCCAGAAGGTATAGAGGCTTGTAGACCTTTAATCCTTACAACCCTGCAAAGTGGGTATTAATGTCTTCGCTTTAGAGTAGAGAAAATGAGGCTCAAGGGAGCTATGTAAGGCCTCCATAGCTGGGAGCAGAACCAGGGTCCTCACATCTTTGCCCTTTCCACTCTGCCACACTGTCTTCCAGGAGATTCTGCTAGTCTATTCCATCTATTCAGGTGGATCCAGGATCTGAACAGCTGAGAATGCTGCTACCATGCAGGGTTTGGGTGGATCCCTCATCCAGTTAACTGTCTCAAGCCTTGGGCCCTATTAACATTGATAGTTGGCTTTGAGAACTGCTGGCCCCTCTCTGAGGTCCAAAGGGAAGCTGTGGACTTTGTACTATTTTTGTGTTATCTTTGCCCTCAGATCATGCAGAGACTTGACTTTATCTTTAAAATCCTTTGTGATTCCAAAATAATATGAAAGGATTCTAAAGTATGTATTTTTCCCCTCCCTTTCTTTCAGAATGCCCAGAGGAGGTTTATGACCCTCGGTCTCTATATGAAAGGCTACAGGAACAGAAAGATAGGAAGCAGCAGGAGTATGAAGAACAGTTCAAATTCAGTAAGCTTCAGAAAACACAGTGTCCAAGGGACTCTGCAGGGCCTTTTTGGTGCACTTTTGCCCTGTGAACACTTTTACTAACCAGCCATGAAACTGTCTTGATTATCTTTAGATAAAATTGTCTGTAGATGCTCATTTTGTGGAAAAGAGACAACTTTCTACCATCTAGACCACACTGAACATTTTTGTTTAGAACTCAAGGTACCCATTTTAATTTATGCTAATATCTAGTAATGGGAGAGATGCCTTGATTTTATGTCATGTTATCTATCCAAAAGCTTTGGTGTTTACAAATTCTTTCTTCTAATCCCCTGAAGTATCTGCTATTTATTTAAAAATAGGACAAGGAAAATTCTTATTTGACTATATTTTTCCTTTAGCCTGTTAAGTGTTCCTTGTTTAATTATTTCCTCAGAAAACATGGTAAGAGGCTTAGACGAAGATGAGACCAACTTCCTTGATGAGGTTTCTCGTCAGCAGGAACTAATAGAAAAGCAGCGAAGAGAAGAAGAACTGAAAGAACTGAAGGAATACAGAATATCCTTTGTACTTTGTTAGGAAAGTATAAGGTGTCAGTTTCTCATCAACATCTATGCATTTTAGTTTCTTCATAAGTAGAATGAGGGTCTTCTGCCTGGTGATCTCTAGTTCCCTTTCAACACTGATGTTCCTAGGACCCTGAGTAACTGGTAGTGATATGTAGAGTTATGTTGCGTGCAGGAATCTGTCGCAATCAAAAGTCCAGATCCTTTAGGATTAACTAAAGGCCTAAATCCTAATAGTCAGTACCAGGTTATTCTTGCCATGTGGTATTAGACTCTGAAACAGGTGGACGATGCAGTGAACCTCATCCAGGGGAGAAACTGGCTTCTACGTTTTAAAAGGAAATGTTTAGCAGCCCTCCTGTGTCCTTAGTAAGACCTTCCCTACAGATACAGCCTGGTTTGTCCCCATAGGTGGGTAGAGAAAGCATCCAAGAGAACTTTGCTTTGGTTCACTATTGCCTTTTTGGCATCCACTTGAATGTCTTAATAGACATCCCAAATGTAACTTGGCTGAATCAAAATTCTCAATTCCGTGCCTCATTACCCCGACCCTCATCACACCATCTCCCTCCCCACCCCCCACCCCCACTCCCAATCTCTTCTTTTTCTGGTCTTCCCAGTCTCAGTAATGGTACTCCTATACCCCCAGGTGCCTGGGCCAAAAACTACCTCCAAAATGTACTCCAAATCCTGCATTTCTTGCTTTCTCTACTGCCACTGCAGTCGTCGTAGACCTTCTCTGGGCTACTGTGACCATCTAATTGTCTCTGCTTCTGCTCTCCTCCCCCACAATCCATTCTCTAGACAATAGTCTGGGGAACTTTTGAAAACATACGTGGGATCATATCACTTTCCTGTTTGAAACACTAGTGGCTTCCTGTTGCATTTAGTCTTAAGTCTACATTCTTTACCAGGTCCTACAAGGCTCTGCATGATTTCGGCCAACCCACCACCGTGTTGTATCTTGAACTACTCTTCCTCCTGTTTACTATACTCCAGCCTACTGGCCTGCCTTATGTTCCTCTCATACTGAGCTCTGTGAGGCATTTGCTATTTCCTCAGCCTGGAATGCTCTGCCCTCAGAGTTTACAAGGCTGGCATTTCATGACACTTGGGTCTCAGCTCCGTTACTCATAGAGCACCCCATCTAAAATTGTACCCACCCCCATCACTGACTATAATGTCATTTTTTTTTTTTTTGCGGTACGCGGGCCTCTCACTGTTGTGGCCTCTCCCGTTGCGGAGCACAGGCTCCGGATGCACAGGCTCAGCAGCCATGGCTCACGGGCCCAGCCGCTCCGCGGCATGTGGGATCTTCCCAGACCAGGACACGAACCCGTGTCCCCTGCATCGGCAGGCGGACTCTCAACCACTGTGCCACCAGGGAAGCCCTATAATGTCATTTTTTTAATGGTCTCTGTCACTACCTGAAAATCTTAATTTATATGCTTACTGGTTTGTGTTGTTCTTTATTGCTGGGATATAAAGTAAGCTCCATAAGAACAAGGACTTGATCACCACTGAATTCTCCAGTGCATGGCATATAATAAGTTCTTAGTATATATGTGAATATATTAATGAATGACTCATAGGAGAGGTTAAAAGGGCCACTTTAGCTTTTTCCTTCTGTGAGAAAGCTAATTTGAGTATTTCATGCTTGTATGTTGAATAACCTCACTAGTGTGACTGAGCAGGCTTTACCTCTAAGATTGACAATATGACTGTGTGTATGTGCTAATTGGTATTTGTTGCAGAGAGTGTGCAGTAGGTTCCATTAAAAAGTTATGTAGGAAAAAATGTGGACAGATTCCCAGGGATTTGGTTTAAGACAAACTTGGTTTAAGGTGACTGACGGTGATCGAGATAAGGTGGCAGCACGGTGCCGCAAAACCTGCTCTGAACTGGTAGCGAAAGACCTGGCTTCAAGTCCCAGTTCTTCTAGTGGAATTCTGGTATAACACTAAGTAAGATAGGAGTTGATGGCAAGTCACACCTCCATCCCAATTGTAGGATTGAGCTTGATTTTTCTGAAGCTTCCCTCCCGAACTCTGTTCCGTGGTGACCCCAGGATGATATTATGCATTGATATATCTGAGATGGGCAGATATGTGTATTGCATTGTTTCAGGCACCTGGCTTTTTCCTCTAAAGAAAAATATATTAATTACACTCTCATTTGAATTATGTCTTGTTTCATGTGCTTAATTTGGTAGGCAAGCAAATAAGACAGAGTGTCTCCCAAAGCAGCATTTTGGAGAGTATTGTTGGTGTGGTATGAGTGTGAGAGGCCTTTCGGTTTTCAATTCAAAGAGAAGAATGAACAGGGCAGCCATGAGGCAAAAGATTCTTTTCTGTCCTGGTAACATTACAGCACAATATTGAAGAGGCTTCAGGGGTATTAGCTTTTTTTATGTATGTATATAAATTTATTTTGTTTATTTTTATCTTTGGCTGTGTTGGGTCTTCGTTGCTGTGTGCGGGCTTTCTCTAGTTGCAGAGAGTGGGGGCTTCTCATCGCTGTGGCTTCTCTTGTTGCGGAGCACGGGCTCTAGGTGCGCAGGCTCAGTAGTTGTGGCGCACGGGCTTAGTTGCTTCGCGGCATGTGGGACCTTCCCGGACCAGAACTCGAATCCATGTCCCCTGCATTGGCAGGCGGATTCTTAACCACTGAGCCACCAGGGAAGCCCAGGGTATTAGTTTTTATTGGAAACTTGGAACGTTCTGACTGTCTAGAAAAACTGAAGCAAAGCAAGCCTTCCAGCCCACTGATGTGCTAATCCCAAGAATGCATGTAGCCAGAGTCATGTTGAAATAGGAGTTGAAGGATTAGACATTTGTTTATTGAAGCTCTAAATCAGGAGCTGGTTCTTGGCTTTGCTTGGTTGCTATAAAATGATACATTTTGTAATGTGATACTTGTGAATACAAATAAGCTATGGTTTGTGCCAGTACAAACAACAGAACTCTTGTTTCTTTCAGGTTAGAGCAGTATTTATTAATATTATGTGTGTTGTAAAACAATGTGATTTTAAAAAAAATGCTCATCTAATGCATTCTATGAGGTTTTTGAGATGTGTTTGTGTATTTAAAGCATTTTAGGGGGAGAGGGACTTAGGGGAAAAAAGGGCTTATGCTTTGGATATGGATCAAAAATATAACTACCACTTCCCTTCCTGCCCACCAAAAAAGAAGAGGTTGAGGGCTTTTCTTCACTTCAAAAGAATAGAAAGTTAAGTGTTGGTTTTTGTCTTTGTCTTGGTATTATAAATGTGTGGTTTTGTTATATTTTTTCCATTTTTGTTTTATTTTTCAATATTTAATATTAATTTTCTTTGAGAGTTTCTATCCTTTAGTGATAGAGTTGTAGGTAAAAATCACAGCATGCTCATTATTTTTGGTATTCTGTACTAGAAAGATGAAATTTCTGTTTCTTTCATTTTTATTCTAAAAAAAGAACATTTAGTATTAACATATTATCAGTTTCCATGATGACCTTAAAAACATTAAATTGATGAAACTCAGAATAGTACTGAGCATTATGCATAATCTGTATTGAATATTAAAAATGTTTAAGATAACTGGTGCCCATAAGAATCGAGTTAGTGTCTGAAGAGTGATCAGAATTAGAATTTCCTAATTTCTGGTACCCAATTTCTCCATTATTCAAAGATACAGGAATAGCTTACACCATATACCCCTACCCCCACCCCTTTGGGCTGATAATACATACTTCTTAGATATCTTGGGCACTAGATGTCACTATTGTTCCAGCAAGGCATTACTGCATCTTAAGATGTTCCAATACATGTTTCAATACTTATCTGTTGATTGATATGTTGTGGGAGAGCATGAAAAGGAAGGAGGGGAGGGGGTTGGTGGAGAGAACAAAAGAAACTGGCAAAGTTTGAGGGCTAGAGATTGACATCAAGCATGAAAAAAGTATGTTACAAGTGAACTGGTTGCTTTATGCTTTTAAAACAACTTTTCAGTCCTGTGTTGTGTTGCATATGCACAGGGGTTTCTCATTAAATCACCTTGAGAGTGTTTAAAACAGGTTCCTGGGCCTCTGGAGGTCCTTATTCAGTAGGTTTGGGACAGGGGAGGGACTCTGTCTTTTAATGAGCCTTAAGGTGATTCTGATGTTGTCTTGCACCAGCAGAGTAGGAGTTAGTCTTCATGATGTCTAAAATTGAATGCCACTGGTAGTCATAGGACACTCCGCAAAATTTGATTTTTACCCTTGGGGGAAAAAGCAAATATTTTTATGTTTTCAGGGAAGCTACATTTTTTCTGTTGCATTCTTCAAGGTCTTTGTTTTCTCCAGCAAGCATGATATTGGCCATGTCTTTGGTAATAGCAGGTTTTCTGGCTGTACTCAGATTTTCATTGAGAATCAAAAGGAAAAAGTTTGCTTCTCTGTATTATTTTGGGCTTGATTTGCTGTTTTCCTCCTAGTCACCTTTATTTTTTTTTTAAAAAATATATATATTTTTTGGCTGTGCTGGGTCTTAGTTGCGGCATGCAGGATCTGGTTCCCTGACGAGGGATCGAACCCGGGTCCCCTGCATTGGGAGTGCAGAGTCTTAACCACTGGACCATCAGGGAAGTCCCTTCATTTCTTTTTAAATCAGCTGGATTTGACTGGCAGAATAAGGAGGGGAGGGCATTTTTAAAATAAGTAGGTTGAACATTCCATGGCAGAGCTGAAGTGCTCACGGGTTATATCTGCCTTCCATCTCTTGATTTATCATTGTCCTGCTGTAGCTCTTCTTTTTGCTTAGTTTGACCCTTAACCTGTAACTCACAGTAATCTCAACAAGGTTGGAATTTCTCAAGAAAACAAGAAGGAAGTGGAGAAGAAAGTGGCTGTGAAACCCACAGAAACCAAGACCAAGTTCTCCCAGGCAAAGCTGTTGGCAGGAGCTGTGAAGCATAAGAGGTCAGCCCGAATTCACACAACTTTAATCTCCTTCTGACTGTGTGCTTTGAAATGCCAGATTAATGGTAGCCAGAACAAAAGGTTACCTAAACATAGGTCTTGGTGAAGTTCCTTTGGTGGTCTTACCTCTCTCTCCCCTACCAGATTTGGTGTCTTCTGTAGCCTTTGACCCTTGTCTCTCTGTTCATTCAACATAATAGCTACTCTTCATTGGATACCTGCTACGTGCCAGGCATTGTGTTAAGTACTTTCCATACATGATTTCTTTTATTCCTCTCAACAACTCTGTGAAGTACAGGTTCTTATCAGATGAAGAGACTGAGAATCTCAGAGGTTGAGAACCTTTGTCCAAGGTCACAAAGTAGTAGGAGAGGTGGAGTTCAGTACTTGAGCATCTGTTTCTAGGCAAACAAGGTAGCAAGTTCTATGGAAGGATTTATATAGGGTGTACTTAGATCATGGAGGAGGAATAACTGCCTGGAGGTGGATATATGTGCTCATGTTGGGGAAGTTAAGGCCTTAGAAAGAAGAGATTGACTAGGTAAGACAACTAGGGCTTTGACGGGCAGACGGGGAGAGCAGAACATCCCAGGAAGAGAGAAGAGCTGGGGCAAGGGCACAATGATCTATAAGAACATGGCAGCTGTGACAGGGTTACACACCTGGCTGGGGCTCTGCTTGTTTGGTGTGGGGTGGCAGCACTGCCTTGTTTGCTCCTTTCTTTTCAAGTCTTGAAATGGCACCAAAGTGATTAAATCTGGTCATTTCAATTTGACCAACCCTACCACAGGCAAAAGGATGTTAAGCTTAAGTGCAGACTATTAGGAAAATCAATATAGTATATTGGCAACCAGCCACATGTTTTGAAGAAAGTGTGTTGATGCAGTTTTGTGGTTTGGCACACCTTCTGTGTGCTGATGTTCCCAGGAACATTGCTAGGAATGTTGCTTACATGTAAAAATGTCGTCGTGGTATAGCAGCCAAGGGGAGGAATATCAGTAGCCTGAAAAGGGCCAGTTACCCCAGCCATGAATTATTCCTTTCAAGTTTTCATATAAGCTTTCTTGCTGGCCTAGTGTCTTTGGATGTGGGTCAGTTGTACTGGGCTATACCAAGAAAGGGCTCTCTAGGCGGTCAGTTAGTTACCTCTCAGCAGTGTCTTGCTTCTAGCAGAATGTGTTGTAAGTAGCTCTCCTAATCCTTAGATCAACTTTTATTAGATCATCCTTTATTGTTGTTTTGTGTAGCAAGGTGATAAATTAGTCTCCTGGGGCAGGAGTTCCTAATCTACCCAGCCTTGGGTTTATTAGAGTCACCTGGGAGTTTGTTAATACTGTAGATTGCCTCACAGTAATTCTGTCTGGCTCAGTAAGTTTGGAGTGAGGTCTGGAAGTCTAATTTTTAAAGTTCCATGGATAATTCCGATGCTTGGTGAAAGTCTGATGCCTGATATATGTTATGAAGCATAGTAATAAAACAAGCCCCCCTGAACCCATCACCCAACTTAAGACCTAGAGCATTATCAACAATATGAGTGCCTCTGTGTTCCTCCCCATTCTGTCTCTGTGCCTTGACATCCTCACACCACTTTCCTATATCTAGTTTACCATTCTTTTGCCTCTCTCTTTTTTTTTTTAAGACGATGTTGGGGGTAGGAGTTTATTAATTAATTTATTTATTTTTGCTGTGTTGGGTCTTCGTTTCTGTGCGAGGGCTTTCTCTAGTTGTGGCAGGCAGGGGCCACTCTTCATTGCGGTGTGTGGGCCTCTTTTGTTGCAGAGCACAGGCTCCAGACGCGCAGGCTCAGTAGTTGTGGCTCACGGGCCTAGTTGCTCCGCGGCATGTGGGATCCTCCCAGACCAGGGCCCAAACCTGTGTCCCCTGCATTAGCAGGTAGATTCTCAACCACTGCGCCACCAAGGAAGCCCGCCTTTCTTTACTCTTAGTAGTTTGGGGTTTTTTTTTGTTTTTTGCTACCTATATAGGTACCCATAAATAATGTAATAGCTTGCTTGTTTTGAACTTTATAAAAAATGATTTCATGGGCTTCCCTGGTGGCTCAGTGGTTGGGGGTCTGCCTGCCGATGCAGGGGGCACGGGTTCGTGTCCCGGTCCAGGGAGGATCCCGCGTGCCGCAGAGCGACTGGGCCCGTGAGCCATGGCTGCTGGGCCTGCGCATCCGGAGCCTGTGCTCCGCGACGGGCGGGGCCACAGCGGTGAGAGGCCCGCGTACCGCAAAAAAAGAAAAAAAAAGATTTCATTATATACACACCACCTTCTGTGAATTTCATTTTTCAATCAAATTGTTTCTCTGATTGAAACAGTTTTGTGTGTGTGTATGTATGTGTATGTATAGCTATAATTCATTCACTTTCACTGCTGTATAATAGTGCATTATTTGAGAGTCCAAAATTTGTTCATTCTCCTGTGAATGAATGTTTGAATTATGACAAACAGTGCTGACAGGTCAAGGACATGCTTTGTTACATATGTACATCTGTTTCTCTAGAGCTGTGTGTCCAATATGTTAGTCCCTGGGCACCTGTGGCTATCTAAATTAATGAAAACTAAATGAAATTTAAAATCCAGTTCCCTAGCCACACTAGTCACATTTTATTTATTTATTTATTTTTATTATTTTTGGCTGTGTTGGGTCTTTGTTTCTGTTCGAGGGCTTTCTCCAGTTGCGGCGAGTGGGGACCACTCTTCATCGCGGTGCGCGGGTCTCTCACTGTTGCGGAGCACTGGCTCCAGACGCGCGCCTGCGCGTCAGTAGTTGTGGCTCACGGGTCTAGTTGCTCTGCGGCATGTGGGATCTTCCCAGACCAGGGCTCAAACCCATGTCCCCTGCATTGGCAGGCAGACTCTCAACCACTGCGCCACCAGGGAAGCCCCACACTAGTCACATTTTAAGTGTTAAATAGTTACATGTGGCTTGTTGCTGCCCTACTGGACAGCACAAATACAGCGATAAAGTGATTTATAAACTAGTATCTCCTTATGGTCTTAATTTGCATTCCCCTGTTAACAAATGTAGTTGACATATCATATGTTGATTTGCCATTCATGTGTCCTGTTGTGTGGAAGGTCTGTTCATTTATATTGCCATTTTTCTACTGCGTTATTTGTATTCTTCTTATTGATTCATAGGTTTTGTTTGTTTTTAAACGTAGTCTTGATATTTTTTTTCTCCAGTTTATAGCTTATCTTTTTACTTTAAAGTGGTCAAATATATTTAATTTTAAGGTGGTCAGTTTTTAAAAATTGAGATATAATTGACATATAACACGTTAATTTCAAGTGTACAACATAATGATTTGATAATATGAGATATATATACATATATATATAGTGAAATGATCCCCATAGTAAGTCTAGTTGACATCCATCACCACACATAGTTACACATTCTTTTTTCTTGCGATGAGAACTTCTAAGATCTGTTCCCTTAGCAACTTTCAAATATACAATATAACATCATTAACTATAGTCACCATGATGTACACTACATCCTCAGTACTTATTTATTTTATAACTGGAAGTTTGTACCTTTTGAAGGTGGTCCATTTTAAGGTGGTCAAATCCATTAATATTTTCTTTTTATGGTTAGAGCCTTTTATATTTTGTTCAAGAAATTCTTTCTACTCTGAGGTCGTAATATAGTTTTTCTTGTAAAAGTTTTAGAATGTTTGTCTTTCACATGTTAGTCTTTAAATCTGGAATTGATTTTTGAAGGGTATGAGGTAGGGATCACATGGCAATTTTTTCTTCAAATGAAAAGCCAGTTTTCTAGCAGTTTACTAAATACTTCTGCCTTTCCTCAGTGATCTTCAGTGTCACCTCTGTCTTATAACAAGTTTCCATACCTATACGGGTTTGTCTGTGGATTCTTTTTTCTGTTCCTAGGATCTGTTGGACCAGTATCACTCTGTGTAATTACTGTAGCTTTGTACAGATATTGATATCTGGTAGAGCAAGTCCCCTTACATTCTTCTCAGGGTGTCTTGTCTATTCTTGGCCACTTCATTCTTCCATATAAATTTTAGTTTTAGTTTAAATTCTTTAATAATCCTTTTGGGATTTTTATTGGAATGTTATTAAATTGCTTGATAAATTTATGGAGAGAACAGATCTTTATGGATTTGAGTCTTTCTCTATCCATGGCATATATCTACATTTATTTGTTTCCTTTAATTGAAGTCATCCAATAAAGTTACAGTTTTGTTGTTTTTTTCCCCAAAAAAGTTGTACATGTCTTTTGTTAGATTTATTCCTAGGTTTTTGTTTTGTTTTGTTTTGTTTTGCGGTACGCGGGCCTCTCACTGTTGTGGCCTCTCCCATTGCGGAGCACAGGCTCCGGACGCGCAGGCTCAGCAGCCATGGCTCACGGGCCCAGCCGCTCTGCGGCATGTGGGATCTTCCCAGACCGGGGCACGAACCCGTGTCCCCTGCATCGGCAGGCGGACTCTCAACCACTGCGCCACCAGGGAAGCCCGGTCCCTGTTCTTTTAACTTGTGATTATAGGACTATCTATGTTTTTCCATGTCTTTTTGAGTCAGTTTTATTTAGTTATATTTTCTGGGAATTTGCTCATTTTGTCTTTTTTCAAGTGTGTTAGCTAAATTGTCAGTATTCCTTATTTTTCTGATTGCTGTTCTGTCTGTAATTGTCCTTTTTTCATCCCAAATATTGATGAATTATGCTTTTATTCTTATTTTCATGAGAGGGTAGTCTTAGTTTTATTAGTCTTTTCAAAGATCTTTTGGGTTGGGCTTCCCTGGTGGCGCAGTGGTTGAGAGTTCGCCTGCCGATGCAGGGAACATGGGTTCGTGCCCCGGTCCAGGACGATCCCATATGCCGCGGAGCGGCTGGGCCCGTGAGCCATGGCCACTGAGCCTGTGCGTCCGGAGTCTGTGCTCCGCAACAGGAGAGGCCACAACAGTGAGAGGCCTGTGCTCCGCAACAGGAGAGGCCACAACAGTGAGAGGCCCGCATACCGCAAAAAAATAAAAATAAAAAAAAAATAAAAAAAAAAAGATCTTTTGGGTTTACTTCTTATTTTTTCTATTTTATTAAGTTTTGCTCTTTAATATCTTCTACCTTCTTTGGAATATTCTTTACTTTCTTCAGACTTATACTTTTATTATTTCTGTTATAAATAACTGTCAGATACCACGCTAATTAATTTTCAGCTCATTTCAGTTATAAGCATCTAAAGCTATAATTTTTCCTCAGCTTTCATTGTATACAATTTTGTATTTCCAACTAAGTACTTTTAAATATCCATTATGATTTCTTTGTTGACTCATGAATTAGAAACATTTTTTTAAATTTCCAAACATATTGAGGTAACTTAACCATATTTCACTGGTTCTAAGATGAACCTGTTTCTCCCTCACATTTTAATACCTTATAATCAGTGGTGTCTTAGAGTCTATGAAATATAATCTTTATCTTTTGTTATCAGTTTCTCCCTTAATTGCATTATGGTTTATATGTGCTGATTCTTTTGAAATTGCTTTAGACTAGCTTTGTGACCTATTCCTGAGATTAATTTTTGTGAATGTTCCAAGTTGAGGAGAATCTGTGTTTTGTAATTGTTCTGGGTTCTATGTAGGTACAACAAAACAAACTAATTGATTGTATTGTTCAAATCATCTGTTTCTTTACATATTTGTCTGCTTGTTCTATTAGTACTTGAGGGGAGTTTTTGAAATCTCCTACTATAGTAATGATTTCTTGATTTTTTTTCAGTCTGTTGAACATAGTATATTTTTAAGCTCTTTTAGAAGCATAGATGTTCAGGATTGTTCTTTCTTCATAGTGAATTAAACTTTGTTTCCTTATAAACTAACTTCTTTTATCCCTTATAATACTTTTGGTTTTAAAGTCTATTTCCTTAATATTAATATAGGTACCCCAGTCTTCTTTGCGTTAGTGTTTGCCGTGGTTAACTCTTTTTCCATTCCTTTACTTTCAGTCTTTCTGGGTCTTAAGTTGTTTGTTTTGCTTCTAAATTTTTAGGTGTGTCTCATGAATAGCTGATTTAAAATTTAGTCTGTTAAACTCTCTTTATAGGTAGGCTTGGACTTATTAGGATTTTTTATACAATTTCTGCTATCTTTTTTTTTAATTAATTAATTTTTGGGCCATGCCACATGGCTTGCGGGATCTCAGTTCCCCAACCAAGGATTGAACCTGGGCCGTGGCAGTGAAAGCCTAGAATCCTAACCATTAGGTCACCAGGGGACTCCCCAGCTTCTACTATCTTAATGTTATTTGTCTTTTTACTTAAAAATTTTTTTCCATGTATTCTTTTTATAAAAATTGATTACAATTTTAAAATCTTTTATTCATTTTCTTTTCTTTCTACTTGTTTGGATTTTTGTATTCTATTTCTATTCGTTTGGTGGCTTACCTTGCAATTTATCAAGAATACTTAGTAAAACCTAAAGTAAATAGCTATCTTACTTCCCTGCAAAATTATCCATGGACCTTAGAACTTTTAGCTACAGTCACGTTCTTCCTTCCTTACATGCTGTCCAGGACTTTAGCATGGTCATGTTTAACACCACAAATTAGATGCTGTTTTTTTATATAGACTGTTTGTTTAGATTTGTATTTACAAGTTTCTTTGTTCACCATCCCTTCCTTCTGGGATTAAGGCCTTCCTCCTGGGACCATTTCCTTCCTCTTTGGAGTGCTTTCTTTTTTCTTTTTTTTTGACTGTCCTAACTTTTTTATTAGGTAAGAATTTACAAACATTACTTAGTATTAGTGGTAACAGTGGAGCTGGAGAGCATTGTGTCTTCTAGCTGCATGGCGAGAGAAGTACATTCTCTAGATATTCTTTTAGTGAAGGTATTTTGGGTGACTTTCAGAATCTCTAGCCTGTCACTAAAGATATTTCCTTCAATCTTTAATAACTTAACTAAATTTTTGTCATATATAAATATGTCCAGATATTCTTGAAGTCCATCTGTGGTTCTAACCAAGATGAATGATGACAACAAAGAATCTGATGTTTTGGTGATGCTTGAAGCTGTAATGCTTCACCCCTTGAATTGGTCAGAGGTTTAAATTATATTTATAACAATAATATAGCTGGAAGGAGATTAAGAACCTGAAATGAAGACTTTTCATTTCAGATCATCTCAGCTCCTTGAGGCTGCCTAAGACCCATATAAATAGTTATTGGAGCTCCTGATTCCCAAAGTTTGATCCCCAAGATTGGACCTAGCTCAAATCACCATATTTTTTTGTTACAGCTCAGAGAGTGGCAACAGTGTGAAAAGACTGAAATCGGACCCTGACCCAGATGACAAGAATCAAGGTGGGTGGCAGCTTTCATTTTGTTCTTTACTCATCATATACGTGAACCATGGTAAAAGGCTGGAATGCATTGTATCTGTGGAGGAATGTGTGCATCTCTAAGCAAACCTACCTAAACTTAACTTACCAAACCGTTTTAGGCTGTGCAGGATTTAAACCTAGCAATATGTCAGCTGCCCTGCAAAGCAATATGTTAGAAACCAGTGGAACTGATAAGTGACAATTGTGTTGTCCCAGGAGCGCTTACAAAGCCAAAGCCCTGGTCATATCACCTCTACTCACAAAGAGTGTTTCTCTGTCTCCCTTAAATGTCAAGTTTCTTCATTTCACCTGGCTGGCTACCCGTGAGAGGTAGAATGCCTGGCTCCGGCTGTTGGTTGGATTGGATTGAACCGAGAGGCTACTAAATACAGTTTCCAGGAGTACACTTTCTTTGGTGGTTCCTTTTATGTGATCAAATCTGCTACTGTATTAAGTGGCACAAAGTTATAAGTGAAAGTGAGTGTTACTCAGGACTGAATCAAGGATAAGAAATCCAAGAGTGTTTTCAGTTCTTCTACTCCTGACTCCCTGTGGAATTGAGACTCTGAGCTGAACTCAAAGGGTCATCGATAAAACAGGGCTTACATTTATTTCTGTGTCACAAAAAAATGGATATTTTAAAATATATTTTTTTCTTTCAAAAAAATGATTATTTAAAAAAGTATATCCACTGAACTCCAATAATGGTGAGCTGTTGCTGATATCTTTTTACTCTAGAATTTACTTTTGAAAAAGATATTAAGCGAAGAGCCTCCCTTCTACCTGTATGTCCTCTTCCATCCAATTCTCCTTCCCAGTGGGAAATAGTATTATATATTTTTAATGTATATATGTATATATCCAGAGCTATTCTATGTATGTATAAGCAATTACACATATTCTCTTTTTTTAAAGTGTTTTATTATAGATAACTTAAAACATATTCAAATATTGAGATGAAAGTATAATGAACCCCATCATGTACCTTCAGCAGTTTTTTAAAAATTAATTTATTTATTTTTGGCTGTGTTGGATCTTTGTTGCTACGCACGGGCTTTCTCTAGTTGCGGTGAGCGGGGGCTACTCTTCGTTGCGGTGCGTGGGCTTCTCATCGCGGTGGCTTCTCTTGCTGTGGAGCATGGGCTCTAGGCACACAGGCTTCAGTAACTGTGGCACACAGGCTCAGTAGTTGTGGTTCACCGGCTTAGTTGCTCCATGGCATGTGGGATCTTCCCAAACCAGGGCTCGAACCCTTGTCCCCTGCATTGGCAGATGGATTCTTAACCACTGCGCCACCAGGGAAGTCCCAACAATTTTAAACACATGTCCAATCTTCTTTTTTTTTTTAAAGAAAGTTTTATTTATTATTTATTATTATTATTATTTTTTGGCTGCGCTGCACGGCTTGCGGGATCATAGTTCCCCAACCAGGGATTGAATCCAGGCCACGGCAGTGAAAGTGCTGAGTCCTAACCACTGGACCGCCAGGGAATTCCCCGTCCAATCCTATTTCATTTAAATCTCCCAACTGTAGTATTTTGAGGCAAATCTCAGACATCAAATTATTTCATCTATAATTCTTCTGTATGTATCCCTAAAAAAATAAGGATTCTTTGTTTTTTTAACATAATTGCACTACTATTATCACACCTGAAATAATTATAATAATTACTAAATGTTATCAAATATCAGATTAGTATTCATCTTCCTCAGTTTTCCCATACATTTTTTTTCTTAACAGTTGATTTTTGTTTTTCAGATTCAAATGCAACACTGTGATCACTTGTTTTTTTAAATTGTATTGAAGTATAGTTGATTTATAATATTGTGTTAATTTCTTCTGTACAGCAAAGTGACTCAGTTATACATATATATTTTTCATATTCTTTTCCATTATGGTTGGTCACAGGATATTGAATATAGTTCCCTGTACTATATAATAGGACCTTGTTGTTTATCCATGCTACATATTAATAGTTTGCCTCTGCTAATCCCAAACTCCCAATCCGTCCCTCCCCCATCCCGCCTTACCCTTGGCAGCCACAAATCTGTTCTCTATATCTGAGTCTGTTGTTGTTTCATAGTTATGCTGGTGTGTGCCATATCTTAGATTCCACATATAAGTAATATCATGTGGTGTTTGTCTTTCCCTTTCTGACTTACTTCACTTAGTACGATAATCTCTGGGTTCACCCATGTTGCTGCAAATGGCTTTATTTCATCTTTTTTACGGCCAAGTAATATTCCATTGCGCGCGCGCGCGTGTGTGTGTGTGTGTGCGCGCGCGCGCGCACACACGCGCCACCATACTGTTTCCCATAGTGGCTGTACCAGTTTACATTCCCACCAACAGTGTAGGAAGGTTTCCTCTTCTCCACACCCTCTCCAGCATTTGTTATTTGTAGACTTTTTTTTTTTTTTTTGCAGTACGCGGGCCCCTCCCTGCTGTGGCCTCTCCCGTTGTGGAGCACAGGCTCTGGACGCGTAGGCTCAGCGGCCATGGCTCACAGGCCCAGCTGCTCCGTGGCATGTGAGATCTTCCCGGACCGGGGCATGAACTCGTGTCCCCTGCATCAGCAGGCAGACTCTCAACCACTGCACCACCAGGGAAGCCCTGTTATTTGTAGACTTTTTAATGATGGCTACTCTGACCAGTGTGAGGTGGTACCTCATTGTAGGTTTGATTTGTATTTCTCTAATAATTAGTGCTGTTGAGCATCTTTTCATGTCTGTATGTCTTCTTTGGAGAAATGTCTGTTTAAGTCTTCTGCCCATTTTTGGATTGGGTTGTTTTGTTGTTTGGTTGTGTGAGCTGTTTGTATATTTTGGTAATTAAGCCCTTGTCCGTCACATCATTTGCAAATATTTTCTCCCAGTCCATAGGTTGTCTTTTCGTTTTATTTATGGTTTCCTTTGTTGTGCAAAAGCTTATAGGTTTGATTAGGTCCCATTTTTTAATTTTTGCTTTTATTTCTATTGCCTTGGGAGACTGACCTAAGAAAACATTGGTACGATTTATGTCAGAGAGTGTTTTGCCTGTGTTTTCTTCTAAGAGCTTTATGGTGTCTTGTCTTATATTTAATTCTTTAAGCCATTTTGAGTTTATTTTTGTGTATGGTGTGAGGGTGTGTTCTAACTTCGTTGGCTCTAGGCATGCGGGCTTCAGTAGTTGTGGTGCACAGGCTCAGTAGTTGTGGCGTGTGGGTTTAGTTGCTCTGCAGCATGTGGGATCTTCCCGGACCAGGGCTCGAACCTGTGTCCCCTGCATTGGCAGGCGGATTCTCAACCACTGCACCACCAGCGAAGTCCCACATACTGATTTGAGTATGTTGAACCATCCTTGTGACCCTGGGATGAATCCAACTTGGTCGTGGTGTATGACCTTTTTTATGTGTTTTTGGATTTGGTTTGCTAATATTTTGTTGAGAATTTTTGTGTCTGTATTCATCAAAGATTCGCCTGGGGGCTTCCCTGGTGGCGCAGTGGTTGAGAATCTGCCTGCTAATGCAGGGGACACGGGTTCAAGCCCTGGTCTGGAAGGATCCCACATGCTGCAGAGCAACTAAGCCCGTGAGCCACAGCTACTCAGCCTGCACGTCTGGAGCCTGTGCTCCGCAACAGGAGAGGCCACGATAGTGAGAGGCCCGCGCACTGTGATGAAGAGTGGCCCCCACTTGCCACAACTAGAGAAAGCCCTCACACAGAAATGAAGACCCAACACAGCCCCAAATAAATAAATAAATAAAAATTTTTTAAAAATCAGAACATTTCCAAAAAAAAGATATTCGCCTGTAATTTTCTTTTTTTGTAGTGTCTTTGTCTGGTTTTGTTATCCAGGTGACGGTGGCTTCATAGAATGTCACCCCATTGGGAGTGTTCCTTCCTCTTCAGTTTTTTGGAAGAGTTTGAGAATGATTGCTATAAGTTCTTCTTTGTATGTTTGGTAGAATTTCCCAGTGAAGCCGTCTGGTCCTGGACTTTTGTTTGTAGGGATTTTTTCTTTATTACAGATTTTATTTCATTTCTAGTGACTGGTCTGCTCAAGTTATCTGTTTCTTCTTGATTCAGTTTTGGTGGCCTGTATATTTGTAGGAAAGTTGAACATTTCTTCAAGGTTGTCAAATTTGTTGGCATATAATTGTTCACAGTATTCTCTTATGGTTTGTTGCACTTCTGTGATATCTGTTGTGATTTCTCTGCTTTCACTTCTTATTTCGTTTATTTGGGTCTTCTCTCTTTTCTTCTTGTCGAGCGTGACCAGAGGTTTGTCAATTTTGTTTACCCGTTCAAAGAACCAGCTCTTGGTTTTATTGAATTTTTTCTATTGTTTTTTTAAGTTCTATTTTATTTATTTCCTCTCTGATCTTTCTTATCTCCTTCCTTCTGCTGACTTTAGGTTTTGTTTGTTCTTTTTTTTCTAATTCTTTTAGGTGGTGGACTATGGTGTTTATTTGAGATTTTTCTTGTTTCTTAAAGAAGGCCCCTATATTGCTATGAACTTCCTTCTGAGAACTGCTTTTGCTGCATCCCATGGATTTTGTATGGTTGTGTTTTCATTGTCATTTGCCTCAAGGTATTGTTAAATTTCTTCTTTGCTTTCATTGTTGATCCATTGGTTTTTTTAGTAGCATGTTGTTTAGTCTCCACGTAATTGTTTTTTTGTTTTGTTTTGTTTTTCTTTCTTTTTCAGTGGTTGATTTTTGGTTTCATGCTATTGTGGTCAGAAAAGATGCTTGAAATAATTTCTGTACTCTTAAATTTGTTTAGGCTTGTTTTGTGCCCAAGTCAACCCTAGAGAATGTTCCATGTGCACTTGAAAAGAATGTGTATTCTGCTTTTTTTGGATGTAATGTCCTGAATATATCATTTAAGTCTAACTGTTCTATCATTTAGGATCTCTGTTGTTTTATTGATTTTTTTGTCTCGAAGATCTGTCCATTGATATGAGTGGGGTGTTAAAGTCTCCTACTATTGTTGTAT